CCTCACCAAGGCCGAGTACAAGGGGAGAATGATGTCCCAGCCAGTAATGTAAGAGAAGTTTGTCTACCATATTACCTAAATGCTATTTCATCAGCATTACATGCTAAACGCATAGCTGCCATGTTGTAAGAGCATTAAATGTTCAAAATGCACAGGCTGTGATTCACAATAGTATCCCTACCTATTCCAAAAAGACCCAAAAGATGCCTAGCTACATTTACTCTAAAATAAAGTTAGCACTTAAACTAGAACAATTAAAATGTATGCCATACCTTCTTTATCTGGCTCAGCATCTTTAGTCTCAATGTCTGTGTTCTGTAACATCTTCTCATTATTGCTCGATTGTGGTATCTCAGTGTTAGACTCTTTCACCAGATCAGCTCCCTGGTTTTCACTGGAAGCTTCTTTTTTCTCCTTTGGCTGATCTTCAGATATAGCTTTTTGTTTGTTACTAGATACATCATTGTCAACACAGGGTAAAACTACATCAACTGTTTCCACTTTCCCATTGTGACATGCTGGAGCAGGTGTCCCTTTTAAGCTGAGTAGAGATGCTTCTCCATTTATACACTCCCCTTTAGTTGGAGACTCGTTCCTCAAATCCTTTTCGGCATTCCCCGTAATGTTGTCAGGTACCAACAGGGATTCATTTGAGCTCTCTTCTTCTGTGGATGCAAAGTTGTTTTCTTTTCCTACAGTCCCGTTGTTAAGCCTCTGCTCTGCATCTATATCCATGATATCACAAGAGGACTCATCATTTGTCATCGACAGGTCTCCCGTTTCCTCTCCATTTTCTTCAATGCAGTCTGTACTGATCTCTAGCTCCCCATTCTCCAGCAGCTTGCTATCATCCCCATGATTTTCATCATCAGCAAACTTTGCATCATCATCATCTTTCTTCAAATTGTTGACTTTTCTTTTCTTGATAATTCCTTTGCCCCACTGAGAACGCCGCCTTGACTTTCTTCTTATTCGAACTGAATTAAACAGAGAGGGAAAACATGTCACTTTTAGTCCCAGTAATCCTTTAACATTTATAAGTCGTGTATTAAGATGAAGGAATGAATATTAACATATATGTCTACTCCCTTCTAAATGAGGCCATTCATTTTCAAAAAACACTGAGCACCAATTCACGTGGAAGTCAATGGTAAAATTCCCTATTTTCAACAGAAGCAGTTAGGATAATAGTGAGGGTGTTCAAAAGTCCCATCAATAAAGGTTTATTTAAAATAAAGCAATTATTCATAGATTATTTCCCATAAATTAATCTATAGGACACTGTCACTTTATTCTTTTTTCCTTCAAACATTTCTCATAAAAACCCACTAAAAGAAAATCAGCCAAACAAAGTCATACAAAACAATTCAGGGATGACCAATTTTATTTTCCTCTTTTAAACTTTCAGATGATTTAGAACCATTAAATGAACCAATATAATTATGAGAAGCTTGGTACGGTTTAATTTAAAAAAAAGAACAGAAGGATTAATGTAAATCTAAACTACATAAACACACAATCATAGCTGTGTTAGGTTTGGAAACCAGGAGTCCCAACACTAGTTCTGCTGCAGATTAGCCGAGTTCATCTCAAGTCATTATCATTTTACAGTACTCTAGCTGTCGTGCAGTCTCCTCTATTTTGAAAAATTTGGCTATACTAGGGGATTTCTCAGGCTTTGGTGTTTGTAACATCTGACAAAACTGAGGAAGCCAGGTATTATCAACATACCTACCCACCTCTACGAGTTGAGGGCGATAAGTGTTTGTAAAATTGTTTTGAAGATATAAGTACTAGCGCAAGGTGTTGTGAATTCTCTCTCAGGAGCTCCAAGAAGTATAATAGTTAAATGTAATACTGAGAATTTTTTCCCTGTATCATACTTCCTCTGGTAATTTTACTACTACACTGAGAACAATAAGCCATTAACCTTTTAGTTTTAAAAGTCACCTTGAAAAAAATCACAATTCCATCTGAAAAGTGCATGGTTATTATTGTTGCAAGCAATCCTAAAGATTATAGAAACTGAAAAATGAGAAAGGTTTCTTTTTCCCCAGCCTTTTGTACATTTGATGCACTTTCTCCACAGCCAGCTTTACTGTTTATTGATGATCAGCTTCATTCCTTTCATGCATAACTCGGCAAGACTTCTTATACATACTTCAATAGCATCTTCGAGAAGGTTTTCGCCAGTAATAAAACCTGCTGAACTGAAACTGAACATTCAGAAGCACAGAGAGAGCGAGAGAGAAAGAGAGAAAGAGAGCACGACAGCTAGAGACCCTTTATCACAGGAAATTTTGCTCTCAAGCCTGTTCAAAAGACCTGTATAGAAAAGACAAAGAGGGAACAGAAACTTTATGGGGTTTTTTATAGAAATGTTTAAAATTCAGGACTTACAATTAATATACATCTTTTACTTCTAGCAAAGAACTCATTTCAAAGGGACAGAATTCTTTAAAAAGAAAAGAAAAGAAAAGAAAAAAAGACATCAACTTTTGGTTGGAAGAACTTTTATTCATATCTATTCTCAATGATTTGCACCTCTGACATGCTCAGTCTACAAGTAAAATACATCACACCGAGCGTGGGTCAGAGCCCATGATTCAGCAAAACAGCTGAGCATATTCCTAAATTTAAACGTGTGAAAAATCCCATCAAAGGAAAAAGAATTACTCTCACACTTCCACTTAGACATTTTTGTCTGTTTAGAGCTTTGCTGAATCAGGACCAAACAGTCTAGCTGGGTTCTTTTCTTTTTCATTTCCCAGCACCAGAAGTTGCTGGCCAAGCAGGCCCTGTCACACTTGTGCAAGCTGGGCTGCACAGCTGCAAACAATTAAGACACAGTAACTACAAGAACTCCTCCCAGGCCGACTCTCAGCTGTACCAGTCCTCCACTGAAGCAGAAGAAATAAACCTATTTTGTTCACTAAAATCAGAGCATACAAAAGGAGCAGATATACTGAATCAGACTATTTTAAACAGTCATTTCTCAGGGTAAAGCTAATTTTATTTTGTTGCTGAAAGTACTTCCGATTGAAAAACAGTACTAAAAAATTAGAATCAAAATAGCCAGGGCGTAGGTGATGCACGCCACATGACAGGAGCCCTTCTCGCTTACATAATTAACAGGTGGTGACAAAAACAAACGGCTAAAACTGAACGCCTTGTCTTCCTTCCCTAACTCACTCCATTCCCTGTACTGTGATAAAAACACCATGTTTTCAACCCCTCATACTTGTAACCTGGGTGTTACCCATGCCTCCCCCCATTAAACTAGAACTAGACATGCACTTCCATGCAGCATCCCAAAATCATGATGTTTCTTTCTCCAGACACTCCCAAGATGCAGACTTTCCTCTCTATCTACACAGCAAAATCTCTCTCCAAGCTTTCATCAGTTCCCATCCTGATACCTTCAACTTCTCTCTCAGGCTCTCATAACACTCTTCAATCTAAAAGATTAGACAAGCACCTGGCTGGGGCTACTCAACCCCAGTGCTGTTTGCTGCCCAGAGCAGGGGGGTGGACTCAATGATCTAATAGGTCCCGTCCAACCCTAGAAATCTATTAAATCTATGAAACACCACTCTCCCCCCATTCATCCTCCCACATGTACTCAATCTACGGCTACTAGAATCAACCTCCTGGACCATTCCTCTGACCTGCCAACCCCAATCTCTGATTCCGTTTACTGGCTTTACCATGTTAAAGAAACTTCTAGTCATTATTTGTACGGTGCCTTCAGATCTTAGCTGTTTCACATTTCTTAAAGGCTGCCCTTTTATACATAGTTAATCTGTAAGGCCACTGCCCTTTTCCATGCAAGTTCCTCAAGAGCCACTTTTACTGATACACTTAACAGAAATTAATTAACAACATATAGGTGGCAGGAAAATAAGGGCTATGCATATTAAAGTATCTAGACAGTTTATATTATCTGCTATACCTAAAAATATTCTACTCAAAACCACCTAGTTGCAGTCCTTTTTACTAAAAATTTCTTAAACTATAAACTCTTCATGACAGAGATACCTGTTCGTATAACACACAGCACAACACTGTCCCAAGTCTTGATTGAGGTTTCTGGACACTGTAAGAATGTGAAACAAGAAAATACAGAGACCTGCTTTACAAAGAATAAAAAAAACTTTTTTTTTTTTAAACTTCTATAAGAATACTGCAAGGTGTGGTTCTGAAAATCTGTCTGATGGCGGCAACATATGCCTCAAATTCTGTATTTTAGGTTCTTAAGTAACATTGAGCTCCAGGTCTCTTCTGCTCATCCCCCAGTGGTAGGTAATGGTGTAGCCAGAGGAGAGATACAGGACCCTGGGTATATCCCTGCAGTCACAGTGGACGACAGCCAAGAACAGCCCAGCCCTAGGAAGAGTAGAACTGGACACGCTTAAACAAAACAACAGGGAAGAAGAGGCGCAAACTTCTGCAGCTTCCCACGTTCTAGTATCATACTTTCTTTTCCTAAAACTACTTTGAGAACCAATATAATCATCAGAAGCCTGGTGGGTTTCACGTAAAAAGAATGGAAGGATTAATCTCTGAAAAGTACTGAACAGTTAAAAGTAGAGTTAAGCTACAGTAGAAAGTAGTCATCAGAGAATGTGGTCAAATAATTGACCGGAAAGGGGAGAGGCCTAGTAGGTGGGTCCTCAAATGAGTTTGAGCAAACCTGAGAGCTTTAAGGATAGAAGTTGTCAGTATGTTGAGTATCTGCTGAAAATCAGAAAGCTGTTCCTATTCTGCCTGGACCATGAAACTTGCCTACTTCATTGGAATCTGCTGTTTACCTATTCTGCCATAGATAAGAATATTCTGTAACTCAGATGAACAAAGATTAAGCAGAAAGCATCTCTGGCCATGAGATGGGAGAATGGTGAATCCAAAATGGAAAAACCTGTCCTTGTCTTCAGAATATCATGTATTGCTGAGGAGGAAATTAGACTGGAGACTGAATGGAAAGAGTCATCAGGTTTGAGAACCAAAAATGCATTGGTTGATCTGGTGCTATCATTATCATTTTGTCCAAGGTCTACATGAATGTTTTGGTAACTCATGGGTTCAGCAAAATCAGAGGGTAAAACACAAAAGATACTGGAATCAGGGATTCAGGAACACATCACAGATACCCTTTATTCTACTCTGTTCTGAAGAGGAACTTGTAACATTTTTGTTCTTCTGACAGTGAACAGATCAATGGCTGCACAATCCCCCAGATGGATATCCATGTATTCCAGATAAATTTCTAATATTAAAATTTTTTTTAAAAATAGTTGCACACCAACCATGGGGAGTTGCATTCAGGGTTACTATGGCTAGAGCTAAACTAGAGCTCTAGCACAGGTTCAGTTTTCTTAAATCCAGAACAGGGCAGCAACTTCTCAGTCCTGGGAATCAAATGCCTACCTCACGTTTCTGAAGTACTACTTCTGTTGCCTGAGACTTAAACCTGACTTCAAACTTACAATACAGTATGCTCTCATGACAGTGATCTCTGAAAAGGGTTAAGGATACTTTTTGAGGATGGTCTGGACATTAAAGTATATAAAACAAGGGCAAAGCCATTCCATTGCCACTTCTATGATTTCCAGGACCCAGCATTATGTAGTGACGGAGCTCCATACTCTACAGAAATAAAAACACTACTTAACTAAGGGGAGGAATAAAAGGAGGAGATCTAACAGAGAATGTATGACGCTTCTGACAAAAGAATCAAATGCGTTTTACTGATGAAGATAAGGAGCGATGCAGTTGGTTTCCGGAGGTATCCTTATTACTGACAGCAGTCAGAATGGTACCAAAAAACCACACGTCCCTCAGTGCCCCGCAGGATTTAGGTATCAAATTGTCTGGTAATACTGACAGGTGAACAAAATGTATCATTACCAGATGTATCCTGTATTGGTGGCAGTGGTGTCAAATACATTGTGACATGTACTAAGAAAGCTAATTTAATGGCACAGCTATCAAGAGCCAGAATGATGGAGAAGGACATGTTTTGGACACTGACCTACCCTTTTCCAAAGCAATCTGCGTGAATTTGGGGGCTTCTCGGGGAAAGACTTGCTAACCAAAACCTTTTCTCCTTAGCTTCCGCTTAGCCCCTGAGGTTTACTGATTGACTGAGATCTGTGAGGAAAGATGTCAGAAGGAGCACTTTTGGAGAAGTGTTCAGGATTTTCAGCCACAACCACTCAAGGGTCTAAACAGGTACTATTACTTTCTCCAAAGGAATCAACTTCAGGCAAGTCTCTCTCTAGCCTTTGAGTTCCTTTAAACAACTCACAAATATAACATCTGCCTGGTACATTTGCTCCATGAAGATACAATAAGCATCTTGAGTGTCCCTCATGGAGACATGCAACTTCTTTCCTGAAAAATCCTTTTTAAGGGCTAGAGATCTGTACTTAGTCACAACAACTGACCCCAAAAGGAAAGGAATTTTTTTTCTTTGAAGAAAAAAAAGACATTAACCAAAAAAATGCAGGCTTAACCCTAATGGCTAACTGCTAAGTACCTGTTTGCTCACGATACAGCGAGGAAGTCACACAGCAAGTCCTAAATTCACAGCCACAGGTGGGCACTGAGAAAGAACAGAGAGACTTGCCATCCATTATGCCCGTCAATGGGAGGCACGAGGTTACTTCAGGGCAGAGACGCTGCTGGCCTAAAGAAGATGAATCGGGCGCCCAGGT